GACCCCTGGGCCTGTCAGTCATCCGTGACCTACTTTTCAGCTTCGCACATGCTCAGTTGCCCACAAAACCTGACCAGGCGCATGCTCAGTCTTTCTGCAGCATGACATAATCTGACTAGAAATTTCTTTGTAGGATAAGATCTGATTGGCCACTAAATTTGTATAAAGACCAGTGAGCCCCCACCAAGGGGGGAGTTGAGTTGTTGGTGGTTGGTGGAGTGTTGGTGGTGGATTAGTGGTGATTAGTTGTTGGAGGTGTGAGCGTTCGTTGGTCTTGTGAGTGAGGGAGAGCCGCTCGATCTGTTGGCAGAGGCTGCTATCAGCAGGGACTGCCCAACAGAGAGAGATTGGGATCTCAATCCCCAGGTCCTCTCCTCACGACCAACAATAGTTTTCGTATTGATTCTTCTGGCGTATGACTGATCTCGGCACCGGTTACTGACAACGATCTGGATCACCCTTGACTACCCTGACTACGATTTTGGTTTCTTCTACCTGGCACTTGACCTCGGCACGACTATTCAACCATCCATTTGTCCACTTGGACTGGCGTCACGACTCATTCTTCATTCTTCGTCGTTACAGTTTCGTTGTTCGTTCTGCTCCTTTAATGAGCCGTTGACCAGCCCTGGGACTATTAAGTTGAGCAGCCGCCCCTAGCTCCGGCTAGATAGCAAGGGCTCACTTAAGAACACCGTGGGCCAACAGACCGCTCTGTTGTTGTTTATACTGTACCTGAAGAAAGCAACTCTACCTATGCCTTCTAAGCGTAAGTCGAATAAATCACTTTTGTTTAAAACCATCACGCTTCCGTGCCTCAGAACTCCACGCCAGAAATCCCGCCTGTTCCATGTCCAATTGCCACCACCCGGCCGCCCCACCGTGACCACGACCGTGAGCTTGGCTTGCCAGCTCCGGGTCAGTGACACCTGTATCCAGTGTACATTAGTGAAGCTCTTTAAATCATTTCCTTTACCCAGGTTTCTGGGCTCCTACTTGGATAAACTGCAAAGCAACCATCAGCAGAGTTCTCTGGCTGTTCAGAACAAACTTTCCAGAAACACTTGTGTCTTCAGCAGAATTTAAGAGACATAAATAGCTCTGTTTCTGATCATAAATGGGGTCAATTTGGTAACTGAGGCCGCACTGTATATTCTATTATTTCTTTTGCTATAAAGACCATTTACTGGACAAAACAGAATAGGGGTTGGCAACCTATGGCCCATGGGCTAAATCAAGGGTGGACAAAATATGGTCTGTGGACTGGATCCGGTGTGTGAGGCCCCTAAAAAAATTAGAAAATTAATATTATCTGCCCTTGGTTCCTGTCAAAAATGACAGGACCCAGAGGAAGCCCTGGCGGGCTCCTGCAATAGCAGGGCCTGCCCGGCCCCGCCCCCCCCCCCAGCTGGAAGATGCAGCACCAGCTTCTGGCCTGGGACCATGTGACTGCACTGTGCCAGAACCTCAAGTAAGGGTGGGGGAAGGGCAGGGGAGGACCCTGGGCAGGGAAGGAGCCTGGGGAAAAGCTGAGCGTGGGGGAAAGCGGCCCCTCCCCCAACCCATGGCAGGCGCTCCCTGCTGCAGCTGTCCTCAGCAGGCACAGGCAGCCCCAGGAGGCCTGCGAGTGACTGCACCACGGGGCGCTGGCCATGGGGCGGGCGAGGGGCCGCTTTTCCCCACGCTCAGCATCAGCTTGTAACCAGCCCTCTCTGTCAGCCTGGGCCTCATGCCAGCTCCAGGCTCGTCTGGTGGGGCTGCATGCAGTGGCAGCGGCTGCGGCCC